GTGCCAGAATGGGGGGTGGAACCGCATGCGGGCGCAGCCACTGGGGCCTTCGGTGGAGCTCCCTATGGGGCCACGAAACGTGTGAGGGGTGTGCCAGAATGGGGGGTGGAACCGCATGCGGGCGCAGCCACTGGGGCCTTCGGTGGAGCTCCCTATGGGGCCACGAAACGTGTGAGGGGTGTGCCAGAATGGGGGGTGGAACCGCATGCGGGCGCAGCCACTGGGGCCTTCGGTGGAGCTCCCTATGGGGCCACGAAGCGTGTGAGGGGTGTGCCAGAATGGGGGGTGGAACCGCATGCGGGCGCAGCCACTGGGGCCTTCGGTGGAGCTCCCTATGGGGCCACGAAACGTGTGAGGGGTGTGCCAGAATGGGGGGTGGAACCGCATGCGGGCGCAGCCACTGGGGCCTTCGGTGGAGTTCCCTATGGGGCCACGAAACGTGTGAGGGGTGTGCCAGAATGGGTGTGGGAGGGGGAGGAGGGGGGAGGAAGGGGAGGAGGAGGAAGGAGGAGGAGGAGGAGGGAACGCGGGGCGACGTCTCTTCAAAACGAGGACCCAACACTACAGGATGGTTGGGAAAAAAATACAAGCGTTTCGCTCGAAACATCCTCAACCAATTATGGAACATTTCGCTCGAGACATCCTGCCAAAATTCGAAGGAATCATAGAACAACAAACGAATTAGTCGAGACATCCTCGAAATTCCTGCGCGCGGGACGCGGCACGCGCGAGACATCCTCGGAATTCCTGCGCGCGGGGCGCTTTTCCGCGTCGCGGTCGGCTCTGCAAAACCAGCGTTTCACTCGAGAGATCCTCAACAAATCATGAAAACAAGCGTTTCGCTCGAGACATCCCCAACTCTGCAAAACCAGCGTTTCGCTCGAGACATCCTCAACAAATTCTGAAAACCAAGCGTTTCGCTCGAGACATCCTCCCAATTAATTCCGCCGGCCCACCTCGACCTCGATATTTATCAGGGAATATTTCCGCCGGCCCACCTCAAGTCAGGTCCGGGGGTAAACATCTAAAAGAGAACCCTGGGCCTAAGCCCTGTCCGGGACATGATCGACCCACGAACCCGGAAAGGAATATAGAACCGTAACACATGGCAGCGTTTTCAAAGACACCTGACTGGGTGACGGGCAAATGCAATGCTGAGTGTATCGATCTTGATGTACCCTGCCGAGGGCTGTGCTGTGCTGCACCGTGCTGAATTGCGATGTGGCATGCCGCGGTTGTGCTCTATAGCGTCGTGGATCGAGTCCTCCTTTGCATCCGAGTCCTGACCGAACTGATCTGGATCTTAAGCTCGAGCTGCCTGAACACATAGTAGCTGCCCCACAGCTAATTGACAGGGGAACATGCCAGGAGGACGCGCCGCGAAAAGTCCCAAGGGATGCGCCAGGCGACGTGCCAGGGGACGTGCCATGGGGACGCACCGCGGGACGTGCCAAGGGGACGCGCTACGGAACGTGCCAATGGATGTGCCAGGGGATGTGCCAGGGGACGCGCCGCGCGACGTTCCAGGTGGACTCGCCAAGGGACGCCCCACGGAACGTGCCAAGGGACGTGCCAAGTTGCAATGCTGAGTGTATCGATCTTGATGTACCGTGCCGAAATCTGTGCTGTGCTGCGCCGTGCTGAATTGCGATGTGTTATGCCTCGATTGTGCTCTATAGCCTCGTGGATCGAGTCCTCCTTTGCATCCGAGTCCTGACCGAACTGATCTGGATCTTAAGCTCGAGCTGCCTCAGCACATAGTAGCTGCCCCAGAGCTAATTGACAGGGGGACATGCCAGGAGGACGCGACGCGGAACGTCTCAAGGGACCCGCCAAGCGACGTGCCAAGGGACGTGCCATGGGGACGCACCGCGGGACGTGCCAAGGGGACGCGCTACGGAACGTGCTGGGGACAAGCGTTTCGCTCGAGACATCCTGCCAACATCCTCAGAATTCCTGCGCGCGGGACGCGGCACGCGCGAGACCTCCTCGGAATTCCTGTGGGCGGGACGTGAAAACAATCATTTCGCCTGAGACATCCTCTGAATTCTGGCACCCCACAAAGCCCCCCACGAGGCCCCCGCTCGAGACATCCCCCAATTTTGCAAAACCAGCGTTTCGCTCGAGACATCCTCAACAAATGTTGAAACAACAAGCGTTTCGCTAGAGACATTCTGTCAAAACCCAAAAAAATCCTGGCAAAACAAGCGAATTAGTCGAGACATCCTCGAAGTCCCTGCACGCGCGAGACATCCTCGGAATTCCTGCGCACGGGGTGCTTTTCCGCGTCGCGGTCAGCTCTGCAAAACCAGCGTTTCGCTCGAGACATCCTCAACAAATTCTGAAAACAAGCGTTTCGCTTGAGACATCCCCAACTCTGCAAAACCAGCGTTTCGCTCGAGACATCCTCAACAAATTCTGAAAAACAAGCGTTTCGCTGGGGACATCCTCAAAAATAATTCCGCTGGCCCTACTCCCGCACGTAATTTATCGCAGAATAATTTCGCCGGCCCACCTCCCGTCAAAACCGGGGGTAAACCATCTAAAAGAGAACCCTGGGCTCGAGCCCTTTCCGGGAAAAAAAGAGCTGCGGAGGATGGGGAGAATGCGCAGGGTATGGCGAACATGAAGAAAAAGAAGCATGGAGGAAGGATAACGAATAACATTATTATAGCGGCGATGCCGGAAAAGGCAACAAGGGAGTTATCGCTAAATTGTCGGCTTGACCTTCCTGCTATTCCGCCTGCACACCAAACTTCAAGGACCAAGGTGCATGGCGCGAATCGCCAATGCAGTCTTGTATATATATATATATATACACACACATCTCCGCTTTTGGGGTCTTCGCAGCGTCCAAGACGGCCCAATGGGCCCCCGATATCGCCCCAAGACGGCCCAAGATGCCCCCCAGAAGGTTTGAAGACGGCCCAAGAGAGCACCAAGACTGCTCCAGAGAGTCCCGAGACTGCCCACAAGAAGCCCAAGATGCCCCCAGAAGGCTCCCAAGAGAGACACATGAAAGCCATGGGATACCTCCAAGAAGGCCACTGGAGTCCCGCAAGAGGGTCCTGGATAGCTTTAGAAGACCTCTGGAGGGCCCCAGCTCCCCAAGACGGCCCAAGAAACCCCCAGTACGGCCCAAGAGGGCCCCAGGACGGCCCAAAAGAGTCCAGAAAACGCCCCGACGGCCCAGAGGCGCCCAAGACTACCCAAGACGGACCCAAGACGGCGTCAAGAGATGGCCAAAATGGGGAAATCCATTTTACATTCCGAGATGTCTGGCCCAAGAGGGCCCCCGAGGCCGCCACCAGGCCCCCGAGAGGCCCCAAGAGAGTCCCGAGAGGGCCAAAAGAGGCACCCCAGATGGCCACTCACGAGGTCCAGAAGAGAGCCCCAAGAAGCGATCATTGTCCCATTCTCTCAGGTGCGCGTACATTTTCAGCATGTTGGTCTTTTCGCGTTTCGCAGTGTTCACGATCGCCCACGAGGCCTGCAGGCTCGCCCCAAGACGGGCCGAGAGGTCCCCAAGAGCGTCCCAAGGCAGCCCAACAGCGCCCTAAGATGGGACCAGAGGCGCCGACACGGCCCAAGAACGCTCCAAGAGAGCCCCGAGAGAGAGAGAGAGAGAGAGAGCCAGGATTGGGAACCCGATGTCAGAATCCGAGATTTCGAGTCGGGGGTCGGCTACATCATTAATTTGCCCCACAACTAATTCCCCGTGAGGTATCCCGCAAGTATGTAGCAGGATCGTAGATCTAAGAAGATATGAGTTTTTCTTCGTATATTCGACGAGACAATCAATCTGGGGAACTCAATTATGTAGTCGATCCCGTATTCGGATAATTCTGCTCCAAGAAGACCCACGAGACCGCCAGGAGGCCCCCCAAATGCCTCAAGGGAGGCCCCAAAGGGCCCAAAATACGCCCCCAGATAGCCCCCAGTAGATCAGTGTGTGCGTCTGCATGTTGTTGGGAGCGTGAGTGTGTATGTGTGTGTGTATGTACATACGTATGTACGTTAATGTCTTTGTGTCGTGTGGCTGTCTCCTCTCCTCCTGCTTCTTGGGCCGCGTGGTTCGGTGGGGCATGCTGTCAACGGTCTGAGCGAGGCTGACTTTCAGTCGCAAGCCGCCTCCTCGACTCGTGGAGAAGCCTTTTCCCTATCATATGAACGGTGTGCAAGGCTGGGCGCTGTATCCACGTTCCTGTCTCCTCTCCTCCTACGTGTAGGGCCGCGTGGTTCGGCTGGACATGCTGTCTACGGTCTGTGCGAGGCTGATTTGCAGTCGCGAGCCGCCTTCTCCACTTGTTGAGAAGCGTTTTCCCGCTATAATGTAAGCTGTGTGCAAGGCTAGGCGCTGTATCCACGTTCCTGTTTTCTCTCCTCCTACTTCTAGGGCCACGTGATTCGGTAGTGCATGCTGTCAACGGTCTGAGCGAGGCTGGTATGCAGTCGCGTGCCGTCCACTTCCCTCTTGGAGAAGCCTTTTCCCCATCATATGAAGGGTGCACAAGGCCCGAAGCGTGGCGGCGAGAGCACGCTTCGTGGCCTTGGCTATGCAGTGGCCCGTGACACCGGCCTGCTCACGGATGGAGACCCTGCGCAAACGATGTTTCTGTCTTGGAGAGAATCAAGGAATCAAGCTTGTCCATCCATGTCTTCACGTTTCCATTCGTCTCGAGGCCCCAGGGGATTTTGCTCCGGACGAGCGGTCCGTTCGCGGACTCGTCCGCACGGAGGTGCAGGAGGAAGAGAAGGAGAAAGAGGTGGAGGAGGAGGAGGAGGCAGAGGAGGAGGATGGTATTGATGAGATGGAGGAGGGCGACGAGTCGGAAGAATGATGACGGGGACGAGAAGGAGGAGCAGGAGGAGAACGAGAAGGACGGGATGAGGCGGAGGTTCTCGATATTAGATCCCTGTTGGTTCTGGCATCGATGTAGGGTACGCAAGCAAGCCCTCCATCCCTCCTCCCCCTCCCTTCCCCTCCCTCCCCCCGCCAGTGGAACCCGCGCGGCTTCGGCTTCGCCACCTTCGAGGATGGCACGCGGGCGTACGTGCACAACTCGCAATGCGGGGGCGAGCATCTCGCTGTGGGAACCGCCATCCCAGGGCGCCTTGCGGCGGTCGCCGCCCACCTCTGCGACAGCACCAGCAGGATGATGATGATGATGATGATGATGATGATGATGATGATGATGATGATGACGATGATGATGACGATCATGATGATGATGCTGACGATGATGATGCTGATGATGTCGATGATGCTGATGAGGAGGAGGATTATGCTGATGCTGGTGATGATGTTGGGGATGATGATGATGATGATGATGATGATGATGATGATGATGCCGATGATGCTGATGATGATGATAATGTTGATGATACTGGTGACGATGTTGGGGATGATCATACTGATGCTGACGATGGTGATAATGATGCTGATGATGCTGATGCTGGTGCTCATCCTGATGCGGCTGATGACGATGATATTGATGCTGATCATGATGACAATGCTGGTGACGATGAACATGATCATGATGATGCTGATGATGGTGATGAGGATGATGCTGATGATGATGCTGATGCAGATGTTGGTGCGGCTGCTGGTGATGATGCCGATGATGATGATGCTGATGCTGATGTTGATGCTGATGATGATAATGATGATGCTGAATGCTCCTGATGATGAACATGCTCATGATGATGCTGATGTTGGTGATGATGATAATTCTGATGCTGATACTGAAGCGGCTGATGATAATGCCGATGATGGTGATGCTTTTGCTGATGATGATGATGATGATGATGATGTTGATGCTGATACTGATGCGTCTGATGATGATGATGATGATGAACATGATCATAATGATGCTGATGATGGTGATGATGCTGATGCTGATGATAACGATGATTTGTTGATGCTGCGGATGATGAGACTGACGATGATACAGTTGCTGATGATGATGATGATGATGATGATGATGAACATGATCATGATGATGGTGATGATGATGCTGATGATGATGATGATGATGATGATGATGATGTTGATGCTGATGTTGATACTGATGCGGCTGATGATGATCATGGTACTACTGATGATGATGCTGATGGTGATGATGATGATGATGAGGGTGATGATGATGACGATGTCGGTGATGATGATGAACATGCTCATGATGGTGTTGATGCTGGTGATGAGGATGCTGATGATTGTGATGATGCTGATGATGGTGATGTTGGTGCTGAACATGACCATGATGGTGGTGATGAGGATGCTGATGCTGTGGAGGATGATGATGCTGATGCTGCTGATACTGATAAAGATGATGCTGATAATGCTGCTGGTGACGATGAACATGATCATGATGATGCTGATACTGGTGATGATGCGGCTGATGATGATGAACATGCTCACACTGATGCTGATGACGACGAGGATGATGATGCTGATGACGATTGCGATGATGGTGAGAATGATGATACCAATGCTGGTGATGACGAGCATGATCATGATGATGCTGATGACGATGCTGATGATGCTGATGCTGATACTGGTGCGGCTGATGATGATCATGATGATGCTGATGGTGATGATGATGCCGATTGTGATGATGATGAACATGATTTTGATGGTGGTGATGCTGGTGATGAGGATGCTGATGATGATGCTTATGCTTCTGATGATGATGAGAATGATGATGCTGCTGATAATTCTGATGCTGATGAACAAGACTATGATGATGCTGATGATGGTGATGACGATGCTGATGATGATGCTGCTGATACTGATGAGGCTGATGATGCTGATGATGATGATGACGACGATGCTGATGAGGATGAGGATGCTTACGATGATCATGATGATGATGATGATTCTGGTGCTGAGCCTGATGCTGATACTGATGATCATGACCATGACCATGATGATGCGGATGCTGATGGGGATGATGGTGCTGATGATGATGCTGATGCTGCTGCTGCTGATGATGCTGACAACGATGATGATGACAACGATGAGGATGCTGCTGATACTGGTGATGATGATGATGATGCTGATACTGTTGATGATGATGATGATGAGCATGATGATGCTGATGATGTTGATGCTGATACTGCTGATGATGGTAATGCTGATGCTGATACTGGTGCGGCTGATGAAGGTGATGCTGCTGTTGATGATGGTGTTGATGCTGCTGGTGATGGCGATCATGATGATGCTGATGATGCGGATGCTGATGATGCCGATGATGCATATGATGATGATCATGCTGATGCTGATGATGATGCTGCTGATGATGATGATGATGGTGATGATGACCATGCTGAGGATGATGATGCTGATGATGCTGATTTTGCTGGTGCTGTTAGTGGTGCGGCTGATGATACCGATGAAGATGCAGATGATGATGATGATGATGATGATGATGATGATGATGACGACGCATATGATGATGCTGACGGTGATGATTGTGGTGAGGAATGTCATGCTGAGGATGATGATGCTGACGATGAGGATGATGCCGATGCTGATACCGATGCTGCTGACGATGATGATGCTGATCAGGATGGTAATGTTCTTGATGATGAATATGATGGCTCTGATGTTGATAATGGTGATGGTAATGATGCGTATGATGATGCTGATGATGATGGTGATGATGCTGATGCTGGTACTGATGCGGCTTATGATGATGCTGATGATGCTGATGCTGATGATGATGACCATTATGCATATGATTGTGATGCTGATGCTGATGATGCGCTGTTGGTGATGATGAGAATGATGATAATGATGATGATGATGCATGATGAAGATGCTGATGATGGTGATGCTGATGATGGTGATGCTGATGCTGACGATGATGCGGATGATGGTGATGCTGATGCCAGCGATGATGATGATGATGGTGCTAAGCATGGTCATGATGGTGGTGGTGATCCTGGTGATGATGATGCTGCTGCTGATGATGATAATGCTGTTGATGCTGCTGATGATGATATTGCTGATGATGCTGAGGATGACGAACATGATCATGATGCTGCTGATGATGGTGATGAGTCTGATGATGGTGCTGATGAAGATGCTGATGCGGACGATGATGAGGATGCTCATGATGATTTTGATGTTGCTGACGTTGGTGATAATGATGTTGATACTGCTGATGATGATGCTGCTGCTGATGATGATTAACATGGTCATGATGATGCTGGTGATGATGATAATGCTGATGCTGATGCTGATGCTGATGCTGATGATGCTGATAATGAGGAGGAGGAGGAGGAGGAGGAGGCGGAGGAGGAGCAAAAGGCGGAGCAAGATGAGCAGGAGGAGGCGGAGGAGGAGGAGGACGTGGAGGTGGAGGTGGAGGAGGAGGAGAGAAGGGGAGAGAGGACGCCGCTCAGGGAATTGTTTGTGGATAGAAATTGAGCACCTTTGAACTGGGGGGTGATGGTGGTGGTGGAGGCAGTACATAATCAGGATCTGGATGAGCGGATGATGATACCGATAATGATGTTGATGATGATGATAGTGATGATGATGATGATGATGATGATGATGATGATGATGATGATGATGATGATGATGATGTCAACGACGATGATCATGATGATGCTGCTGATGATGAAGCTGATACTGATGATGATGTTGTTGATGGTGATGGTTGTGCTGATGCTGATGCTGATGCTGATGCCGATCTGATGATGATGATGATGCTGATGATGCTGCTGATGATGATACTGATGCTGCTGCTAATGATGATGTTGATGCTGCTTCTGATGATGATGATGATGCTGATGCTGATGCTGCTGATGATGATGATAATGGTGATGCTGATACTGCTGATGATGATGCCGATGCTGATGCCGATGCTGATGCTGCTGATGATGATGCGGCTGATGCTGCTGATGATGATGACGATGATGATAAACATGATGCTAATGATGCTGATGCTGATGCTGATGATGATGAGGATGCTGAGGATGCTGATGGTGATGGTGATGACGGTGACGATGACGATGACAATGATGATGATGCTGATGATGATGATGATGATGATGATGATGCTGATGATGATGATGATACTGCTGATGCTGAGGCTGATGAAGCTGATGCTGGTGATGAGGAGGAGGAGGCGGAGGAGGAGCAAGAGGAGCAGCAAGAGGAGGGGGAGACTGAGGAGGAGGAGGAGGAGGAGGCGGAGGAGGAGGAGGAGGAGGAGAGAAGGGGAGTCAGGATGACGCTCAGGGAATGGTATGTGGATAGAAATTGAGCGCGTTCGAAAAGGGGAGGTGGGGCGGTGGGTGATGGTGGTGGTGGAGGCAGTGGATAATCAGGATCGGGATGAGGGGGTGATGATGCTGATGATGATATTGATGATGCTGATGTTGATGATGAGGATGATAGTGATGATGATGGCAACGATGACAATGATGATGATGTTGATGATGATGACGGTACTGATGATGATGATGGTGATGATGCGGCTGATGCTGATGCTGCTGCGGATGATGATGATGCTGATGATGGTACTGATGCTGATGATGATGATGATGATGATGATGCTGATGATGATGATGATGATGATGCTGCTGCTGCTGATGATGATGACGCCGAAGACGACGACGACGAGGACGACGAGGATGATGATGATGATGATGATGATGATGATGATGATGATGATGATGATGATGATGATGATGATGATGATGATGATGCTGATGATGCTGATGCTGACGCTGATGATGATGATGCTGGTGCTGATGCTGCTGCTGCTGCTGCTGCTGATGATGGTTATTATGATGATTATGATGACGATAATGGTGGTGGTGGTGGTGCTGGTGATGAGGATTAGGAGGAGGCGGATGAGGAGGATGAGGAGGATGAGGAGGACGAGGAGGACGAGGAGGAGGAGGAGGAGGAGGAGGAGGAAGAGAGGACAGGAATATCGGGATAACGAGGGCTGTTATGAGGACGATGATTTCGAGGATGATGGAGGTGGAGGAGGAGGACGAGGAGGAGGAGGAGGGAGGACGAATGTGGTTCGATGATTGACGATGGGGGATGGGGGAGGGAGGTGGGATGAAGTGGAGGCATGAGGGAGGTGGAATT